TACCTTATAATCCCTTCGCATACCTCGGACCTCATTGTCCGTACTGTGGAACAATGTTCTTTAATTAGATAAGTACGTTAACGTTGTATGGAACTGAAGATCGTGATCTTCGAAAGAAACTTTAAGTGCATGTTAGTTTTGAAATTTGAAACGATGTTTTTGAAAACATACGATAGTGGAACGAGTAATAAGAAACGAACTGACTCTTGCCCGAAATGACTGCAGCATCTCGTGTTGGATAAGTTTGTGAGATTTGTAATTGTTGGAGATTTCATGATTCATTGAATCAATGTCGTGTTTGACATTTCTTTCCAGGGGGAAAGTGTAGGGCCCCTGCCCTTAGTTGTATGATTACGCAAGAATCACGCGTGGGACACTCGCGGGACGATATATAGATTAACAGTTGCTTCGAGTACATGTAAAACGAGAGTTTATATAGTTCACATTTTGTTAGTAATAAAATATATATCTTTTGCAATCGTTATGTTCCATACGTGAAGGGAAATAGGAGTAACAATTACACTTACTGATCCCTTAATAATTCAGGATATCACAAAAACCGAATTCAATAACTGTTTTATTATGCATTGTGTTTTCATTGACAACAAGTCCTCAAAAAAAGCAGTGAAAATGATTTAAAATATCACAATAACATTATAATAGCATAAAGGTGACAGGAAACGCATTTACCTATAATGGAATTCCGACAAAAATTTCCAAAAAGTTTTTTATTCGTGTTTTTTAAACTTCTGCTTTTGCTATAAAATTTCATATCGCTGGCTCATTTAAAAATATGGATTTAATGGATAGTATTTTGTCTGAATCAGACTCGTAAAAGTAAAGTTTTACTCGACTAGTAAAATTTTAGCAAAGGTTTAGTAAAATCCGCTGACAAACATCTGGTCACACTGTCTGCTTTACTTGAAATAAATTAAAACTCCATTTTGTGATATTTGTGTGAAATTGAACTCTTCAGTGAATTTTCGAGCAGGTGTATTACTACTACTCATTATTAAGTTCAGTTGCACGAATTCTATACTCTATAAACTTGAACGAACAATATTATATTTTTCGCTGTAGGTGTAAGCGATGAGCCAAAGCAAGCCAGATGTATACACTCGATCAGAAATTTGACATATTTTTAAGCTCGTTTCAAGTAGTTAATGACCGCGTTATACAAACTCAGCATGTTAAAGTGCCTATGTCATAGTTTGGGAATTAGCCTATTTAGATAGTTTAGATGATTTTAAGAACTTTTGCAATATATTTTATAATTCGAAAATTTGGTCTTCATGGACTTTCAGGGGCTCTTTGCTTAACCGTGAGTGTAAAAGGACTAGGGCGAGATGCCTATAAACGCCGGATGTGACGTCAAACCGGGAACTGATCAAAACAAAATACATATGATTTGCTATAGTTTCTTGATAAAATCATGATAAATCGAGTATAAATTGGATGTTTCTGGAAATTTCTTCGATATTTCGATTGGAATTTAAATGGAACTATATCCTTAACCTTCGGTTATCGAACTGACAGGCAGATTGGGCGAGATACTAATTTTATGGCTGAGTGTGCAGGTCAAACACGTATGCGCTGATGCTAATCTATCTATGCAGAAGAATCTATTCTCTTTGTCAATACAGGTCAGATTGGAAATTATTGTGGGCAAAACACCTCGTCCAGGATCAATAGAAGCGGCTGAAGCGCCGGTTTGCTTTGAATTTGGGCGTCATAGCCGCGTCAGGATTTGCCGTAAATAATTTTGTGAAAAAGTAGGTAATACGAATTTTATATGATTTAAAAAGAGAAACTCTGAAGGCAAAGTGAACTTGTTTTATTATATTGACATGTATTTATGAATTACTGTAAAAGTTGATATTTGAATAAATTTGTTTATTAATAAGCTAGTCTTGCAAAATCGCCTAAATGTATTAAGATCTCTTATATTGTGTTCTAATTGTGTTCATGAAATCATACAACTACTAAGGCTACATGTTTTTAAATATGACACATCTTTATATTTCTGATTCATGAATAATAAAAATCACTTTCTTAGTTATAGTAAACTATAATATTTTGAAAATTATAATATTCCATTGAGTATTGTATTTTTTCGACATTTGACCTTGTCTGCTAGCAAAATGCCTAATGTAAACAAAGCAAGCGAAGGGGCCTATTGTATTTCATGATTCGCCCATTTCTAGGCTATGACATGTCTTTTACCATACTCTTTGTCCTAAAGACCTAACGGATTAACTGATTTCTAAATCATAAACATTTATTCTTTATAAAGTTATAGTAAATTTTTCATTAAATGTGAAAACATTTTGAAACACTTGTTCTTTGTATTTAATATTCAATTTATTTGAGGTGCCGAACTTGCCAGCTTGCAGAAACATGCAAATAAAACAAGGAATTTTATTATATTTATAAATTATAAAATGATATTATATATGGTTATGACATTATTGATTCATGAGCCATGGATCATTTTGGCAAATTACGACATGTATAATCCCTGCATGGAAATTATATGTATTGACCCATTGGCATTGCCTTGGCCTTGCTTTGTTTACATTTGGCAATGAAATGGTTTCATCCGCTATAAAAAACTGAACAAGATTTTCAAAATGACAAGACAAGTTTGTTCTATTTAAGGAAGTGATTTTTACAGTATGATTCAAGAATAAAAATCTAAATTTAAAACAATGTGGCCCAGGACCATAAATACATTTTATTCTGTTGTTTATGCATTTTGCTGGGAAAAGTAGAATCGCTACTTTATTCAAAGATTAATTTTCTCTTGCATACCTATCAGTAACTATAGAACAAGTTCAGTTTGCCTTGGGAGTTTCTCTTTTAGTTTTAAATCACATAAAAACCGTATTTAATCACCTTCTCGCCAATATTATACGACACATTTTGACGTCCAAATTCAAGCAAACCAATGCCTCTTACTCTGTATTGATCAGTGGACGAGGCGTTTTGTTCACAATAATTTCCGCCATTCTGGCTGGCATTGACAAAACCGAGGGCAAAGCGAATATATTCCACTGGATCAGGTTTAACAACAGCCTACAGTTCCTTGCCGTTTTGTCTCTATTTCTGTATATAAATCAAGAAACCGAGATAGAATATATAACATCAGCGTATATATGTGTTTGACCTGCACTCTCAGCCATAAAGTTAGTATCTCGCCCAATCTGCCTGTCAGTTGGATAACCGAAGGTTAAGGATATAGTTTCATTTAAATTTCAATCGAAATATCGAAGAAATCTCCAGAAACATCTAATTTATTCTCGATTTTGTCAAGAAACTATAGTAAATCTATGTATTTTGTTTTGATGACTTCCCGGTTTGACGTCACGGCGACATTCTCGCCCCAGTACTTTTATGCTGGCGGCCAAACGCTCAAAATAGGCAAAATCTCCAACTTTGAGCCCCCGAAAGTCCATGAAGATCAAATTTTCGAATTATAAAATATATTGCAAAAGTTCTTAAAATCATCTAAACTATCTAAATAGGCTGATTCCCAAACTATGACATAGGCACTTTAACGTTATTCCGACTCTGAAGTGTTTGTCGTCTTCGTCGTTCTCAACAGACATCCAGTGGCATATTACAAACTTTAAACTCGCATTCTTTTCTTTATATTTCTCAAAATACAACCCATGGCAAACACCACATTACCTAGGGAGGTTCTTCTTCCATCGATTGTATTTAAATTCATCGCAATGATTATTGGAGTTTGGGGAAATATCACAGTTATAATTTATACAATTTTCTCGAGCAAAGAAAAGACAGCGACATCTTACTTGGTAGGAAACTTGGCACTGGCAGATCTTCTCGTGTGCTTAACATTTTATCCAATATGGATCATCGAGTTTACACAGACTATGTTAAACATTGATAGTGATCAGGATCTGTTCTGTAAATTAAGTCGTTCTACCATCTGGGCATTGCTGTTCGCTTCAACGGCCGCACTCCTCACAATTAATGTTGATCGATATTTATATATTGTAAAACCTCTGAAGTATCCGCTGATTGTGACCAAACGACGCGTTTTTCTGGCTATTTCAGGAATTTGGCTGACTGCGTCTGCGTGCTGTCTTTACGTTGTCAGTAATGTTAGTTTTAGATATCAGTTAGGATTAAGAAACTTTTGCGACATTAAGAACTTTAATATATATAATCATTTTATTTATAGGTTTGTTGCCTACGTACCACTTACTCTAATATTAATGATTAATATCCGTATTTTAATTGTTGCGAAGAAACAACGAAAACGTATCTTGGGTGAAACAGCGCTACCCGTTACAACTTTCACTGGACAACCTGGAAACAAAATGTCTGCCATACATGGATTTTTTCGCGCTCATAAAGCAGTCAAGACATTTTCTATTGTTGTGGCAGTGTTGGTTTTCTGTGTCCTCACTCCAAATGTGGTTGGTCTGGTCCTATACTACTACTGTAGCGACTCATGCAAACAGATTTGGTTCGTAGTTTTTAACTATGAATTTTATGGAATAAATTCGATCGTGAATGCTTTCATCTACGGAATGAGACATATAAAATATAGAAAAGCTTATCGACATATTCTTTTTAATATACTTCGCTGTAAGAAACTCTGAAACAGATCAAGGATACTGCTTCACAACTCACAAAAATATACCTCTGCTTATTTAGCGCCATTGTTCAAATATTTTAAGAAGACTAAGCAATAATATATTCAACCGAGTTGCCTCAATATTGCTGGCACTCAATGGATCGTGCTTAATTATGGATGATTACTGCAATTCTAAAACACTTTAACAAAATACACGTTTTTGTTCCAGATGAAATGTACTATGGAATACTTCAACCACATCAGAACACGACGCTATGACTTAATTTCAACACCGCGGAAAAACGTCTGCGCATGCGTCAACCTTACCTGTAATAGTATTGCGAACTTGATGAGAAGCTGTTCCGAACATTTCCGAAGGCTCAAAATGGCGGTAAAAAGGAGTGACTTCATTGTGTGTCTTTACAGCCAGATTTCAAGCGCAAAAATAAACATGGTCATTCTAAAAACTAGAAATAAATACAGCCAGAAGGTTCAAGAAATTGTATTGTACAAGAACATGAACTAAAGGTGATTGTTGACAAATTTATCGTCTGAAACATTTTGTTTATCAACTAAGCAATGACAATTTCCGAATTTTCGTTTGAGATACATTTGTTTAAAAAAAACTGTGTCGCCAAATATAAAAAATTTGCGTGTTCACAATAATTAAACTTTAGGATTTATTCTACAATTTGAGTGGGTTAAGAAGCTTAACTTTTCGAGAGTTTTCTTAACTTTTTAGTTTGAATTTTTGTTTTGAATAATTTTGCAAAAATTTTCGAAGTCGTGTCCGTTAAAATCAAATATTTTTTACATGAATTATATTTCATTCCATACTTTAAATGCCAGGACGCTTTCAATTAATGTCTAGTCTACCCATTTGCTATATTTTCTCGTTTGTTTTACTAATTTTGACCAATTAATAAGCATGTTTTTGTTTTAGAAATTGATATTCAAACTCCCCGCCATATTTTCATAATTTGGTGCATGCGCAGACGTTTTTCCGTGGTGTTCTTAATTTCCTATTTGCGTTCAACTATTATTGACGAGCAGCTTCGAACCGCACGAACTCAATCACGTGACTGCACGAACTCGGCAGCCACCAACAGCACGAAATGCAAGGCTAAACAATGTGTTCAGTTACATTTAATGCTCACTTGGAAAGTGAGCGCGATTGTATAAAAAACCTGGTGTGAAGAAATTCAAGTGTAAGACGTTAGGATGTAAACAAAATTACGATCACGAATATATATTAGACGGTCCCTGATATTAACTGCAAACAAGTTGTTGAAAGGTAGTGTATATACCATCAACCATGGACGCGTTTTGTCAAATTCTGAAAAAAGTGTTTGCATCCAGTATCATCCAATTTAATTAACCTTTCTCACGAAGGAAAAATTCGCCATTTTTGGTGGTACTTTATTGAAAAGGACGTGAATAATCTAAGGAATGTGGCAACATTATTTCTAATATTAAACCGTTAAGTACTATATAGTTAAAATACTAGCGACAGATCTGTACTCTGTGCGCATGACGTGCTTGTGAAATGAATAAATTGAGCTTAATGAGTAGTGAGCTTAAGCAAGTGACGTTTTTGACAACACGAACGGCATGAGTAACGTCAGAAGACTGGGTCAAGGGCTGTGATTGGTGAAAAACGTCAATTTTACTTCCGGTCGACGTCCGTGTTGTCAAAAACGTCACTTGCTTAAGCTCACTAGTATTTGCTTTGTTCGTTTCGGCATTTTTATGCTGAAGTGAATGTCGTTAAGTATATCACGGGAGAGACACCATACATCAGGGACCGCGGAGGTATTTTTTTGTTGGGGAGCTAGCGAACGGCGAAGGCGTGAGCCTTCTGGGGGGTCCGGGGGCATGCTCCCCCGCGAAATTTTGAAATCTGAGACCTCTCAGAGCCCAAGAAATGCAATAAAACCTGCTAGTTTCTCTTAAAAAGTTTGTTGAACGACTCTTAAGAAAGCCATTATATAAGGGTAAAATTTATTCGCGTAGTACATTTTCCTTAATATATTTTTTTCTTCGAACATTAATGCCTTATTTAAGCGTACGTAATTTAATTTGCTTATTCCATACTTATCGTCTCTACCTTTCTTAGAAATGTTTTTTTCTGGAAAGTGTTCAATAACAAAAGGAATATCGAATGGTTTTCCGTGCAGGATTGCGTGATCCATACACGAGGGATGTCGCGAGACTTTCGGAAAGCGTAAAAATACTCGTGCCGCAGGCGAGTGTATTTTTATACTTTCTTTTTAATTGTTTCTGACGTTTCGACTACCTATACGGCAGCCATTATCAAAGACGTATTACAGTTACTACACAATTACTTTATGGTTTCCGTGTTTGGATGGTCTGATCCAAACACGCGGGAATGTTGCGAGAGTTAAGAAAAGCGCGCGAAAACACGAGCCGAAGGCGAGTGATTTTGCGCGCTTTTCTTAACTCGAGCAACATTCCCAACTTAACTCGATCAACGACCTGCATGATAATGGTCATTACAAAAAGCATCATTTGTCTGCACAAATAATAAACAGTTATTGAATTCGCCGTTTTTGTGCCGATCCAGAATTATCCAAGTCAAGAGCCGAAGGCGAGATTACACTTACTGATCGCTTAATAGTTCAGGATATCACAAAAACCGAATTCAACAACTGTTTTATTATGCATTGTGTTTTCATTGACAACAAGTCCTCAAAGAAAGCAGTGAAAATGATTTAAAATATCACAATAACATTATAACAGCATAAAGGTGACAGGAAACGCATTTACCTATAATGGAATTCCGACAAAAATTTCCAAAAAGTTTTTTATTCGTGTTTTTTAAACTTCTGCTTTTGCTATGAAATTACATATCGCTGGCTCAACCTACACATAACTGAGTTACCTACTAGCACTAAGGGGTCGACCATTTAACTTTTGACGGGGGGGGGGGTGATTTACTGCTGGCAGGGAATTTTTTTCTGGGATCGTTATGTGCAAGATATTTTTTCCTACCCATCATCATGTACGATTTTTGTTGCCACTCTCTCTTTCGCAACATTTTTTTTCAATAGTTTATGCTATTTAGATTTTTTAATTATAGTTAACGTTGAGTTTTCTAGCTTCACGCATTGCTTTTAATAATACATATTGCTATGAGGTATAACATTTGGTTCAGGGCCTTTTTTAAGGATGCGTAACTGGAGAGGACATATTTAGCGGGGGACCTGGAGAAGTTCCAGTCGGCAAGTCTGTATCGGCTTGTATCACTGCAGCTACCAGCATAGTTTAACTAATAAGTATACGTCATAGGGCAGCAAATCAGGCTATAGAGAACTGCTGCTAGTAGAGAACCAATCAGATTGTAGAATACCTCATATCCTTGTGTATATAATATAATATATTTATTTATCTGCTTTACTTAAAATAAATTAAAACTCCATTTTGTGATATTTGTGTGAAATTGAACTCTTCAGTGAATTTTCGAGCAGGTGTATTACTACTACTCATTATTAAGTTCAGTTGCACGAATTCTATACTCTATAAACTTGAACGAACAATATTATATTTTTCGCTGTAGGTGTAAGCGATGAGCCAAAGCAAGCCAGATGTATACACTCGATCAGAAATTTGACAGTTCACGAAATATTTTTAAGCTCGTTTCAAGTAGTTAATGACCGCGTTACACAAACTCAGCATGTTAACGTTATTCCGATTCTGAAGTGTTTGTCGTTTTCGTCGTTCTCAACAGACATCCAGTGGCATATTACAAACTTTAAACTCGCATTCTTTTCTTTATATTTCTCAAAATACAACCCATGGCAAACACCACATTACCTAGGGAGGTTCTTCTTCCATCGATTGTATTTAAATTCATCGCAATGATTATTGGAGTTTGGGGAAATATCACAGTTATAATTTATACAATTTTCTCGAGCAAAGAAAAGACAGCGACATCTTACTTGGTAGGAAACTTGGCACTGGCAGATCTTCTCGTGTGCTTAACATTTTATCCAATATGGATCATCGAGTTTACACTGACTATGTTAAACATTGATAGCGATCAGGATCTGTTTTGTAAATTAAGTTGTTCTACGCTCTGGTCATTGCTTTTCGCTTCAATGGCTACACTCCTCGCAATTACTGTTGACCGATATTTATATATTTTAAAACCTCTCAAGTATCCGCTGATTGTGACCAAACGACGGGTTTTTATGGCTATTTCAGGAATTTGGCTGACTACGTGCTGTCTTTGCGTTGTTTATCTAGTTAGTTATAGATATCAGTTAGGATTAAGACACTTTTGCGAATTAAGAACGTTTATATACATCATAGTGTTATTTATAGTTTTGTTTCCTACGTACCACTTACTGTAATAATAATTATTAATATCCGTATTTTAATTGTTGCGAAGAAACAACGAAAACGTATCTTGGTTGAAACAGCGCTACCCGTTACCACTTCCACTGGACAACCTGCAAACAAAATGTCGGCCATACATCGATTTTTTCGCGCTCATAAAGCAGTTAAGACATTTTCTATTGTTGTGGCAGTGTTGGTTTTCTGTGTCCTTACTCTAAATGTGGTTGGTGCTATCCTATACTCTAGCGAGCCATGCAAACAGATGTGGTACGTAATTTTTCACTATGAGTTTCATGGAATAAATTCGATCGTGAATGCTTTCATCTACGGAATGAGACATATAAAATATAGAAAAGGTTATCGACATATTCTTTTTAATATACTTCGCTGTAAGAAACTCTGAAACAGATCAACGGAAGGATACAGGGTACTGCTTCATAACTGTGACGTGAAGTCAGTCACGTCATGGACATTCTTAATTTAAGACATTACGTAATTGTGCTGACTCATGTTTTTGCTATATTTATCGTTTTATGTAATATCTAAAAATAGTATGATGTAATGTTCTATTAATATCTATCGGATAGTATATAAACAGGGAAAGCTTAAGCTAGATTATTATGAAGAGAAAGAATTAAAAAGTTTAGAGATAGTTTGTTGTTGTTGTTGTTGTTGTTGTTGTTGTTGTTGTTGTTGTTGTTGTTGTTGTTGTTGTTGTTGTTCAAGAAGAATAAAGTGACATATTGTTGAAATTATTGTCGTCGTAAACTTTATAAGACTAGGAAGGATATTCCAAATACCAGAAAGCCTCCTTGGCCAGCGCGTGTCGCTGTGTCTGGTCAAGGAGGGCAACGATCGTAAAGAAGATAAAGACGCAGACATACATTTTTGTTCGTTCTTGCCCGCGAACGTAACACAACTCACAAAAATATACCTCTGCTTATTTAGCGCCCTTGTGCAAATATTTAATTTAAGAAGAAAGCAATAATATATTCAACCGAGTTGCCTAAATATTGCTGGCACTCAATGGATCGTGCTTAATTATGGATGATTATTGCAATTCTAAAATACTTTAACAAAATACACGTTTTTGTTCCGGATGAAATGTACTATGGAATACTTCCACCACATCAGAACACGACGCTATGACTTAATTTCCTACTTGCGTTCAAATTATTGACGCGCAGCTTCGAACCGCACGAACTCAATTACGTGACTGCACGAACTCGGCAGTCACCAACCGCACGAAATGCAAGGCTAAACAATGTGTTCAGTTACATTTGATGCTCATTTGGAAAGTGAGCGATTGTATAAAAAACCTGGTGTGAAGAAATTCAAGTGTAAGACGTTAGAATGTAAACTAAATTAGGATCACGAATATATATCAGACGGTCCCTGATATCAACTGCAAACAAGTTGTTGAAAGGTAGTGTATATACCATCAACCATGGACGCGTTTTGTCAAATTCTGAACCGAAAGTGTTTGCATCCAGTATCATCCAATTTAATTAACCTTTCTCACGAAGGAAAAATTCGCCATTTTTTGTGGTACTCTATTGAAAAGGACGTGAATAATCTAAGGAATGTGGCAACATTATTTCTAATTATATTAAACCGATAAGTACTATATAGTTAAAATACTAGCGACAGATGTGTACGGTATTTACAATGGCGAGTGCGCATGACGTGCTCATGGGCGTACCGGAAGGAAAAAATTAAGAGGGCGGAAAAAAAATTGCCCGACTTTTTCGGATTGTGCCCGCGTTGTCAAAAAAAAATTTCCGCAGAAACTTTCCAAAATTGTTGTCGACGGGAGGAATGATTACGAAAAATTCCTATTAGATAGCGTATTTCCCACAAAATTGCCAGAATTTCCCACAAAACTGACAGAATTTGTCCCATTTATTTTTATAATAAGCCAATATTGCCCAAAAGTGAAGCGAATATTGCCCGACTGGCTTTGTTTGCCCAACAAACTGGGGGGGGGCTGCCACCCCCTCCCCCCCCCCCCCCCGCCTGGTACGCCCATGGACGTGCTTGTGAAATGAATAAATTGAGCTTAATGAGTATTTGCTTTGTTCGTTTCGGCATTTTTATGATGATCAGGTATTCAGTCGTTAAGTATATCACGGGAGAGACACCATACAATACAGGGTTGAAGATGCATAAATTAGATATTAAGCGTTCAGTCCAGTTCACGGGTTTGTAGCGATAGCCTCATGTAGAGTTACATTACAAAATTTGCAACAACTCAATTTATCAAAGAATGTCTTGTCGTTTTCGTGAGCCGAAGACGTTAAATGAGGAAAGTTTGTTTGCTGAAGCCATCAGTGCCCAAAAATACGCGGTATAACACAAAGTGGGCAAAACGAGTATTTGAGGAGTGGCAAAACAATCGGCTTGACTAAACAGCCTGTGTCGATGTCGCATCTGATGAACATGATTCACAACAGATCGAAGATTCAACAGTGCCTCTAGCAAAAATGTCGGTGCCTAGCCTTGCTCATTGGCTCAGCAAGTTTGCTTGCGAAGCGGCAAAAGTAAATGGCGAACGCTATCCTCCTAAAAGTGTGTATTTGATTATGTGCGGCTTAAATCCGTATTTAGCTGATATATAAAAGGAGAGGAAGGATTTAATATATTCATATAGGATTTTTAATATAGGATTTAATATCATTTTTACTTTACTATGTTTATGGGGTAATTTAGAACTATCATTGTGAAATTCACATATTTTGATGAAATGTATAGGTTTAGAAAATTTCGAAGAATTTCGACGCAACTAAATGTAGAGTTGCTCAAGCTTCGAAGAGAGCAGCCAAAGCAGAAATCACAAAAGAAGAAGCGAAATTGTGGGATATGAAATTGCTCGGATCTTATTCAGCTCAGTCGTTATTGCACATAGTATATTATTTTAATGGGAAACTCTTTGGCTTACGGGCTGGGGAACATAGATTACTCAGGGCTCAGGCTAGCTAATATTATTGTGAAAGAGAATATTATTATTAGTTTGATGAAAGTTGCTGTGCGTATAACAGAATTAGTAGAAAGAGTTTTGCATCGCATTTGAAACAATTTCATTACATTAAAGTGTGGAAGATTGCATTGATTTATCCTTTTTAATGAATTCACTTAGCACATTACATGCACTATTAAATTGATGCGAATTGAATATTTACAAACTCTGTGCTCCCAGCCCCTTGCCTTTGATCCCTTGGGGGTGAGGCAGCACGTTCCTTGCGATAGTAACTTCTAGTGAAATTACAAACTCCTCATAGTTACACTTATATTCCTCTATAATCCCCCAACCCATGGGGTGGGGGGAAAGAATCAAAGGGTCTTAGGGCTAGGGAAGAAAATCAAAGAAGAGTAAAAGAAAATGGAAAGGCAGAGGGAAAAGAAGAGAAAAATTTCCGTGGGTAATTCGTGAAAATCAGTGTTTCCACTTTCCAAAATGATTTTTTCTATTTTTTTTCCTGATTTTGATCGAAATTTAAAGCATTGAAATTTCCTTCAAAATTCCATTTCCTCCAATTTTCCTTCATTTTGATTTCGTTTTGTCTATGGCCCATAGGCCATAGCACTCCAAGAAGGAACGCAGGCCTTCTTTGAACCAAAGGTAGTTCCCGTCTCGGCTGACGCAGTAAAGGTATGGGGAAAAGGATCAAATCTGAAAAGAAGTGGGGTGGGGGGAGAATCAAAGTTCATTGAAGAATATACACCCCTGTATTCTCATCCAATTAGTCTTTCTCACGCCGCCATTTTTGGGTACCGCCTTTTCCAAATCTGAGATTGTACGCAGTGAATAAGGGATTTGTGTAATTTACTATAATTGTGAGTATAGAATCATTATCCGCTACCTTCCGTCCAGTATCTGCTATCAGTTATCTGCTAACATTTAACTGCTATCTGGTATACGCGCTATCAGGTATCTAGTATCCGGTAACTGCTATCAGATATCCGCTATCCGGTATAAACTGCTATCAGATATTGCTGTCAGGCATTGGCAATCCGGTTATCGCACAGGGTGCCCGACTACGACTTATTTATTTATCAATATCTCTGTATGAAAATGGGTATTAATGCTCTGTATATTATTTAATCCCATACATTCCGCGTGTTTCGTCCACTGACCGCTTTGATATAACTGTATTCACGCGCGTTTCTGCACTGACCGCTTTAATGTAACTGTATAGAGATTATGTATGGGATTAAATAATATACAGAGCATTAATACCCATTTTCATACAGAGATATTGATAAATAAATAAGTCATAGTCGGGCACCCTGTGGTTACCGCTGCTGTTTTCGCTCAGTTTAACTTCCGTGTGCTGTTTTAGTTTTCTCGGATCATAGTTAATATATTAACTATGCTCAGATTGAAATGTAATTATTGGTCACATAATCTCGTGTAGAATGACAAAGGGAGATATGACGGTATCATGTCCAATGAGCATGACCCCGTTGCAGCTCGTGGCTATTTCCGCTCTATTCAACTTCCTTGTGTTGTTATAGTTTTCTCCACTGGTTTTCTCACACTAAAATGGATCCTCGCTCGGTTAAGATGTTTCTCAGCATATTGTGTCTCGCTTTCGCCGCGCATTTAATTCAAGGTAAGTGATGTAGCTTCGCATTTTTGCGCGATATAGTTATGGACACAGACAGATATCTAGCGGCAGATATAACAGGCGAAATTAAACGTGATTAAATATAAATACTAACGTGTATGCGATATTAAAAACGACACAATGCAAAATTATTGTTCTATAATAAAACGCGTACAATGAGTTGTTGCTACAGATCAAAGATTTTGACAGAATAGGGCGTTCTGTAATTCAAACACTTGCGCACATCATTCCTGGGGGGGGGGGGATAGGGGAACGCGTCCGCTCAGTTTTTGGACTTTTTACTGTTGAAAGTAAATTTTAGTATTTTCTAATAAAAAACTTCACCATTAACTCTATACTAACCTAAGGTAATGCGCGCACTTTTAAGCATATAGAAAACTTCGAAAACTAGAACCGCGATAATGCCATTTCCTGCGATTTGGGCATTTGAATTCCGAGCTCCAGTTTGACCTCAAAAAGAGGCAAAACCATATTTTAACCACAAATCGTGCTTGATGACGATTTGATAACCAATTTGACGAATCATCGCACAAAGGTAAACTGAAAACCCATTGAACCCAAGTGAAATTCTATTGCCCACTGGGAATCGGTTAAACACGCAATAACATATTTTCTTTATTAAATTGACTGGAGATGTTTACTATGAAATCAGCTTAGGAACATTTCGAACCCTGAATTGCACGAACGTGACGAACCGCATGCTACCAACACAATTCCACGCCCTTAAGGCCTGATCAAACGAGAACGCAAAATCATCGTAAGTAAACTGGCACCGTTGTTTAAACGCCATTGAAAGAAAGCGAAAAGCTGCCAGCATCGTGTTATTTTCTCTGCTTGATGAAGACGAAACGTCGCGGGCTTGGACACGTGGAAAAACTCAGTATAGAGAATGGATTAAGTGAATAGTGATTATTCAATGTAATTGCGATAATCTTCTGAGAAGAATTCAGTCCCAGAGACACCTTTTTTGTCCCCTAGCTGAGTTGGACCTTTTCCTTTGATGTTTCCAGTTTTATTGGGAACGATTTCGCTTTTATTGATATTTTTTATACTTTCTGTGTTTTGAGGGTATTTTGAACGAAGTTTTCGATTCCGATCCGGCGTCTCCGCGTTTTTACAGTCACGAGAAAATAGGATAACGCGTGCACAGAGGACTGTAGGGACTAGCCTGGCAATGGTCTGGCCTGGCGTTTCTATGGTTCCCATGGGAACTGGTCACGAAAAGCTTGCTTGAACTTGCACTTTTTTTTCAAACGTATCGCAAGTGCTCGCAAGTAAAAAAACTTGCGATGAAGTTGAACCAGCTCAAATCATTCTCAAGCTATACAGCATGTCATCGCAAGTTGATGGTCAAACAAGGCACTGAGCAAGCGCAAGTTATCAAATTAAACTTGCGATGAGTTGTGTTCTTGTTTGATCAATCAGGCCTTTTATACGCTACTTATTTTCCTTTCAGGAGCTAGCCAGTGCGTGCGAATTAACAGTGAGCCATCACGCCATTGTGCAGTTAAATGTACTGTGGATACAGCTGTGTGAATCCCAGTAAGTATACTGTATACCTAGGGTGCCCTTTAAGAAATGCAATTTTGCTATGTTCCAGATTTTTGGATATGTTCAGATGGGCATCTAAAATTTAATCTAAGAGATGAATTTTGACACTAAGATGATTAAAATTGTTCTATTGTAGTAGAAACAATGTTATGGCTGTTGTGGAAGAAAGTGACTGGTTCAACCAAGGATATATTATAAGGACATCTCTGCCTTCTGAGGGCAGAACGGGAAATATACCTCTGATAATAGTAGAATGTACAGGACGTTGGGGGGGGGGGGGTTAATTTCTATTCCCTCCCTGGAATGACTCAATTTGTATGTTCTTTTCCAAGGAGACACCAGGAGGCAGTTGTTCAAAGGTGGGTTAGCGCTATAACCCTGGGTTAATTTAACCCGCTGTTTTAGTTTTTATATTTCTACACGTCTGTTTATCAAAACGTCAGAGAAGTAAACTCCTATCGATCTAGACAAGATCTCTGAAGAAATATTTCCAAATTTATAGTAAGCTGTGAGGATGTTTACTTTGAATTTTAGGTTAACTTAGGGTTAAACTAACACAGCTTTGAACAACCGGCCCCAGACCGATAAACCTATGCTGGGAAAGGGGAGTGGGGGTGCGGTGCAAGTGGCCACCTGTCCTTTCACAAGATGGGTATGGGCAGGGACGCCGGAACGATAAAAAAGGCAAAGGGGGGCAGACGCACACCAAAGGGCATCTCTATAGATCAAAACTTCGAAATTTACCCGAAAAATATTTTTTTTACATTATATTTTTTTGGGGCGACCTCCCCCACCGACCTGCCCCCCGTCGCCAAAATTTTTCGTGACGTAAAAAATTTTTCCGGACATCAGCAATTTTCTCCATTTATCCGAAATTTTTTTCTAAAATCAAAAATATTTTCTACAATTTTTGTAAATTAACCTCATTCTTTTCCAGATTCACATTTATTTTTGTAAATTAACTTTCTCTGGGCCTATAAATTACCTGAATCTCATGATTTTGTCCGAAAAAGCATCACTGCAATTGTGATTTATCAGGTAGTATTTTACAACTAAAAGGGCACTTCTGCCCCCCTTGCCCCCCCCCCCTAGCAAAAGGCAAGGGGGGCAGCTGCCCCCCCAGTTTCGGCGTCCCTAGGTATGGGTAAGATTCAGAATACCCCGAATACTTGAAAATTGCGATTATACGATAAAATAAAACAAAGTTTGTGAAGGGGATAAAATTTGTAGGCAAGCATTGCTCCTGAACGGCAAGTGTTGGTGTCCGGCGAAACAAGCGAATCCGTATATTCCTGTACAGCGTAAACAGGTTACGCGAGGTTTTATATTTGTGTTTATTTATATCGAACTATGTCAGATCTATAAGAGCATATTTAAACTAAATATTAAAGGCAATAGCCATATTGTTCAAGACGAGAGAAAGCAAATTTCGTGTGAATCACCACTTGCATAGAGACGCCTAAATGCAGCTTTAAAATGCGGGTCTCTGAAAAAGCATTTCCTGCATTCTGAGAACACATTTTTTTAAAAAATGTCAGCTTCTTAGAACAAAGTTTTAATGGTGAAATTTGTAGTAAAATGCATGCTAAACATTCAAACACAACGTCTTTTCAATGTTAAACTCGTTTCTCAATACAGGTCCTAGGGCCCTGGCTTTGGAGTTTGGGGCAATAGGCCATTTTTTTCGTCAGTAGTTGGGCAGAGGAAAGGGCCCAGTGGGGCAAATGCCCCACCAGTCCATAGTATTAAAAAATGCCTTGGCTAACATCACTGAGGTTCAGATTTAATTTCCACTACCGCTACCATTAAGGACCAATAACGATGCGTGTGCTAAGCCGGTGAGAAGTTAGTGGTAGCGATAGTCGAAGTCAAATCTGAACCTCTCCAATAGTAAAACTAGTAGTACAACTGAATAACTAATTAACTGATAAAAAGTGTATACTCATGTCACTAAGCCATCCAGTATCAGCATGCATATTGATGTGTGTTGCACAGCTGAGCGAGAGCGCTCTCAGTTTTAGTCTGACGATAGGCTCTCCTAGTAAACTCGACGGTTTGCACTAAAAAAAGGTTCTTGCATATTTATAAATTTCGAGGTCACTGGTGGGTTCACGGCAATAGACCGCACGGCAGTTCTCATATTGTAATTTCCTGAATTTCATTCACAATATCTTTGCAAGTCTACAGCTATGTTATTTCATTTCAGGAATGCGTTGTTCAAAGCCCAGAAAAGTACGAAATGGACAGATTATTTTCAAATCATATTGTTTTAATGCTACCCAAAGAGTTGTATGTAATGCTGGCTTCAGATTGACAGGATCTGCTGTAAGAACGTGTCGTGGAAAAGGTTATTGGGACGGAAAACGAGCCAGATGTAGTAAGCTAGTATATTGATTGTTCAGTTGAAAAGATAGGGTACAGTCCGATCTGCGCATGCGCACATAGGAGTCTCATGCTGTGATATAAACACTTTAATGAGGTTTTTATTTCATTTTATGTTCTTGCAAAGCCTGATTGTTGTATCTTGATGACTTGATAATTTATTATACTGTAGAAGCATTAAAATATAAATAGTTGTCGAATAAAGTTCAATATTTTGAATACCGAAATGTACCCTACCATTAATTAAATTATTTGTTCATAGAGCTCAAAATATTTCCTCCTCATAAATGCCAAACCAAGGGAAGGTTTTTAATTTTGCTCTTAAAATTTAAATTTTAGACAATGTATTCTTCTGTGTACAATGTTTGGGTTGTATATATGGAAAATTCTCCTGTGTAATTAAGTGCATGCATGGCCACTCTACAAGAGCGAAAGACCACACCTAAATTTCTGGGTTTCTGCATGTGTGCAGTTGCTACAGAACTGCAAATATTTACACCATTTTGGATGACTAAAAAATTAAATTTGTCCATGTTTTTCAGGAAGAGCACAAAAGAACTGTCAAGATCCAGGAATGAAGGGCTTGTTACTACGTACAGCCGATGAAACGACGTCATTTAAACCAGGAACAAAGTTGAGCTACTTTTGTCCACACAAGTTCATTCTGAGAGGATCAAGAGAATTGATTTGTAATGGAGATGGCACTTGGTCAGCTTCTTTACCGAAATGTGTTGGTAAGTCTTTAGGATAACGTTTTAACTCTTACTAAAGATAAAAACAAACTTGTTTAGAACTGATGTTGGAAGCGACCTAAAATTATCATCCAATTTGCAAAAAGAACTTAATGGGAAGATCCATATACCATTATACATACAGTTGTAGTTGGACATTTCAGAGTTTAAATAACTTCAAGGGAAGCTATATACGGAGCAACGTTTGATTTAGAGTTTGTCTAAAAATGTCCTGGAAGATTGGATTCTGCCCTTTTCTGGCTAAGATCATTTTTCTGCTATTGGAAGTCAGTGATTTACTTCAAGTATTTCCAGTGTGACAGAGATGGATGTATAGACTTTAAGCCTTTTACTTCGTGATGTTATTTCTAAAGAGAGCTACACTATATTGAAAACAGAATATAAGTCAACATATAGGTGAAACACCTACTAAAGGGCAGTGCTGTAAATAACTTTGTTTCGAGTAACGAAATTACAATTAAGTAATCGTTACTTTTTAAGTACTATTTAAAACAATAGCATGCAGGAGTAAAGGAATACCGAATGGTTTTCCGTGCAGGATTGCGTGATCCGTGCACGAGGGATGTCGCGAGACTTTCGGAAAGCGTGAAAATACTCGAGCCGCAGGCGAGTGTATTTTTACGCTTTCCGAAAGTCGAGCAACATCCCAAGTGCATGGGTCACGATATCCTGCTTGGAAAACCATTTGGTATTTGTTTTATAAAACTACTACAGTGAAACAATGACATTTTGAGAATCCCGCGAAGGCATTTTAATTCCCCGTGCAGGATAGCCTGATCCTGCACGGCTATTGGCCAATCAAATTGCGTGTTCCACTGTAGTTATTATATAATGCTTTATCACCAGTGGCGTAGCCAGAACGATAATTGGGGGGCCTATATTCATATATTCGTGTTCTGCTTTATTAATTTATTTTGAAATCAATTGTTTTTATGGTATGTGAACACAAATATATGAATATGCCCCCCCCCCCCCAATTATCGTTCTGGCTACGCCACTGTCCACTGTTTATCACATATAAAACTCGAGGAGACAGCCGAGTGTTTTATATCTGAATGATAAAGCACAGACTGTGTTTTAAATGGCTTAAAAAACGACCCAGCTTATGAGTTTATTTGCGAAGTAATTTTAAAAATAAACGTTGTCTAAGTCAAGAAAATCAAAGCTAAAGTTTACATGATTTTTTATCAGATATAAAACCATCGACATGCTAGTGATTTCCTTTGTCTTTTCTTTATGAATTATTAATGAGTTTTTTTAAGTAACTGTAACGGTAACTAGCTAGTTAGGTTTTAAAGGTAACTGTAACCCCCCCAAATTAACTTTCTTTCGTTGCATAAGCAATTTAAAATTTATTATTATCGTTACTATTGATATCCACCCATGCAGCTGGCCATAAAATGACATTTTTGTTCCTTTTCCAGCGCCAAAATGTACAGAGGCAGTTTTACCAGCTCATACACAAGTGAAATCACCCAGGAACTGGAGAAACCGACGAAAATATGGAATGCGTTTCACTCTGTCATGTCAGAATGGTTATACTTCGACACAACGTGGCACATTGGTCTGTGATGCTCCGGGATGGAGACTGGAACCCAGTTCATTCAAGTGTTTTCGTAAGTGACTATCTTGACCTAACCTACTTTACCATACAGAAGCGGAAAAGCCTCCACGCCATGATTCTAGCCAGTTCCTTTTGCCATCATGCCATGTTCCTAGCCAGTGCGTTTACGAGAGGCATTCACCCCCTGAACATCTGCCATTTAGAATACTTTCGGGGGGGGGGGGTGAATGAGGAACACGGCGAAATTTTTTTAGCGACGGGGGGGGAGAGGTCGTCAAAAACAATTTTTAGGTGCCCTTTTTTTTGAAAAGTGCCCTTCAAGGCCTGGCCCCCCAACTTTTCGAAGCTTCCTACGCCCCTGCACCAGGGTTTGCAAAAACTTATTTCTCCTTTACACTGAAACCTTTCGCAGTATGAATTCTTCTCTAGTAGCTCTATTACGTTTACGCACAGTTCCCCATATCTACATACACAAGCACAGAAACCTTGGGTATCATGAGGTTGCAGATATCTCAACATTGCATACTTGTTTATAAAACATATTTCAAACTTTAGCTGTTAAGAACACGACGCCCAAAATTCACAGCACGACATCAAGTCCAACTGGTACTACTACTCAATTTCAAACAACTGATGCTCTAAGTAAGTAACGAAATTAATATTTTACAGTAGTATAAGACAACTACATTTAAACAGTTAAAAATATTAAGACTAAACTAATTTAGATTAGTCTTAATATTTTTAACTGTTTATACGTATGTAGTTGTCTTATACTAGCTACTGTATTTGGTACGAAAACGTGGTATTCTTCCAAAATCAAACGGACTTGAAGGACTTCGGTGGTCAAAGGGTCGCCACCAACCCATATAAGAACAGGCTTTGTGATTGATTGATCATAACAATGAAAGACAAGGAACTACAGAAATTATCTTTCTAAAGAACGAGTCATAAACATGCACTGATCACTTTTGTTCTATGAAACCAATCACAAAACACGATTATTTTAGGTGGTGTTTACTTGGGTATAATCGTCAGAGCAAACGCCGATCTCTGCGATCATGGCTTCGATTCTCGCTACCAACTCATGACACGTATATGGAAAGGTGACTGCCAGAGGTGCCTTCACAAAATGAAACCTTCAGCTCGATCAGGTTGAGCTGCATCCTTCATAATTCAGCTTAGTTTTCAGCTGCAAGTAAGGATGATTTGCAACCAACCCCCCCCCCCCCCCTCCTCACCTAACCCGTGTTGTTCCTGTGACCATAGGGTGCAATAGGGGGCTATAGCCCCCCCCCCCGAAAAGAAATAACCTTGCTTACCAAAACAGTTGTGGAAATTTCAATTTGGTGGTCATTTTAAAATTTTCTACTTTTTTACAACCTGTAGATCCCCAACTGTTCCTAAGGGCCACTAGTTCCTTATGGCAGTTTATTAGACACTTTATTCTTACAGTTCAAAGTTGTCAAGATCCAGGCACGCCGTGGAGAGGTAGCAAGAATGGAAATCTACACGTCGGACAAACGCTTCATTTCTCGTGTGCTCATTGCTACCAACTTAGAGGTAGCCCAACTAGAACATGTCAATCTGATCTAAGCTGGTCTGGGAGTCAACCCACATGCACTGGTGAGCTTCATGATTTCAGTTTTGTGTTTTTATTTTGAATTTTCAGTTCTCAGCAAGTTTCGCTTTAGCCGACGAATGACTTCTATAAACTAACAGTGGCGTATCCAAGGGGTCAAGTAGCACTCGTGGCCTCCAGAACTGTTCTTGTGAATAGTTCAAATCGTGCAAAAGTGGCTGCAATGTCTGGAATAATGATAACATATGTTATGGGTTTTTTCAGGGTTATAGTTTTTCTCATCCCAGAATGCGAGAAATGCTGTTCTAGCGACTCTAGAAATTAGAAATTTCTCCAGGGGAAAATGCCCCTCGTTTCCTCCGTATACCCTCCCTAGGGTTCTCAGTTCTCACGGTATTTGCGCTCCTGTGTTTTGAATTCATTTTCGCTTACCCCAACCAAAGTCAGGACCCTGGCTGCGGCATTGTTAAAACCAAGTGAAATTGTTTTGTGTTTGTCCAAATGGAGTTGAATTCCTGAATTAGACATCCCCAATTGCTTAGTCATGGTTTACTGAAATATCGCTTTTATATTTAGCTATTAAATGCAGCGCTTTATCTCACCCTACAAATGGAAGAATAGTTGCATATTCAAACTTCTGCGGAAGAAAACAAACAGAATTTAAATGTTATTCTGGCTATCAGTTAAGAGGTTCAAGAAGAACAACTTGTCAGAATGACGGAAGATGGTCTGCAACGAGTCCAACCTGTGTCCGTAAGTTTTAATGTAATAATTGTACGTACTACGTACCATAAAATGTACATTGCGTTTATACGAGGATGCAGGCTGGCCTGCTTGGCGAGATCCTGTGTGCAAACTGCAAAAGCCGCGAGACCATAGATAGGCAGGATGGAACTCGCCAGCCCACTAACCGGGATGAAAGAAAAAGTATGTATACTTTAAAATATATAAACGGGTATTTATAGTCTAGCTAAAACTTGTCAGTTCTGATCCTGGCATTCCAAGAAATGGATAAAAAGCAAGGCAGCACACCATTCTTGACACTGATGTTTCTTCCGAGTTTATTCGGTCCAATTTTCGTATTTAGTATTAGTATACAATTTTTTGCTTGGGACTATATAATGTTTGGGACTATATATTGTTTTCACCACCCGAAAATAAAAGTCATATCTTCAAGCCATCGTGTATTGCGTGTAATATCCTCTACGTGTATATTGTAGCAGGGCTTGTGTGCTTTTGCGCTTGTGGCTCTCTCAACCTCGTACCTATTCGTACCCAGGGATTTAGCATAAGCACAGAAGCCTTAAAAATCTGGAAATTTTTAAAAAACGACCTGACCTGTCTTATGAGTTCATTGGCGAAGTAATTTTAAAAATCAACGCGCGTTGTCTAAGCCGAGAAAATCAAAGCTAAAGTTTATGTAAATTAAAATTATTTTTATCACATACAGTATAAAACCATCGACACGGCAGTGGTTTTCTTTCCATTTTCCTCATGAATTATTGAATTTTTAAAATTTGTTTAAATATTAATTAAACAACACATTCCATATTTTAGCCGTTAAGATCACGACGCCAAGAATTGACACCAAGAGGTCACAACCAACTAGTACTACAGCTACACAGTTTCAAACAATTATTGCTCTATTAAGTAAGTAACGAAAATTAATACAGTCGAACCTCTATTAAGCGGTCTTCCATTAAGCGGCCACCCTCTATTAAACGGCCACATACCGAAGTCCCAAAATTTTTGTAATACAAATACTATAAACTATATCCCTCTATTAAACGGCCACCTCTATTAAGCGGCCGCGGCCACCCAAAGAGCGGTCCCAAATGTTTTATGTCAATTTTTACCTCTATTAAGCGGTCAGCCTGCAGGATTTACTTGGCACAACACCTTGTCAAGAGAGCCGAAAATAAAAGTCGAGCTACAATCCTGGCCAAAACTCATGTGGACACTTAATCCACTTTTGCAAAAATCATAACAAACACCTAAAACTTGAATTTACTTGCATATCCCCCACTCCCCCTCTTCAATGTTGCTTATCCGACTTAACCACACTTTGTATTTGATGAAAAATCCCATTCAACATTGGCATGGGGGAGCCGGGGGGGGAGGGTAATTATTTAGGGAAAACGCCTTTCGAGGCCAAATTCTGTGGGTTGTCCACAACCTTTTGGCCAGGATTGTAGTTTGCTTTATTTGTAAAAGAAGGCTTAAAAATTATGTTTTAACACATGCCACTTTACACCTCAAAAGCTTTACACCTAAAAAGCACGGACTACGCCCAGGGTCTATTATTTGCGTACCTCTATTTAGCGGCCACTTCTATTAAGCGGCCACAAAGCCGATCCCCGAGGGTGGCCGCTTAATAGAGGTTCGACTGTATTTTTCATCAGATTAGTTCATACAGTAGTTTTCATATTTTTAACTGTTTATATGTTGCATGACTGAATTGTACAAGTTTTGCAAGCGTTATTGATTTTACAACTAACATTGCAATTTCATCTCGTCAAGCGGGATGAAAAACTCTGCACGGAAATATTCGTCCCGCTAGGCGAGACGTCTCGGTAAGCGGGATCATATGAACTAGCCCTCAAACCACTTTGGATAACGTAAGAGCCAAGCTAATTCTTTAGGCTCATCATGTGGTAATCCTGTCCTTCCACCACGTGCAAGAGTACGTATTCACCGAGGAACTGTCTTGTTCATTGGATGTAAAGAGAATTATTCGACTTTAATAACTGGCTTAATGCGGTGTGTTGGAAACACATGGAGACGCATAAGAGATCCAAATTGTTTAGGTATGTGTAGAGCTCCTAAAATCAATTAGGTAGTCAATCAGTAATAATTCACCGGTCGTTTGGCCAGTCATATAATTTACTCATATATGCTCCCTAGATTATGCTGGCTCTGCGATTTGTTACTGTTATTGTATGTGTATTTTAGCTAAAAGTTGTTCTAATCCTGGCATTCCAAAGAATGGATATAAACACGGTTTATCGTATTTTGTTGGTGATGTGGTGACATTTACTTGTGACGGTTGCTACCGTTTGGTAGGCAACTCCAAAAGGACATGTTTGAAAAAAGGAACTTGGAGTTATAGACAACCAATTTGTTTGTGTAAGTCATGTTCATTGTTCTTTACTCACCATCATCATCATAATCATCATTATCATCATCACCATTATCATCATCATTATCATCATCATTATGACAAACATCACCACCATCATATTTACCATTACCATCATCACCATTCCACATCATCGTCATCATTACCACAGCAATCACCACCACCATCATTATCATCACCATTGTCATCACCACCATCATAATCATAATTATCATCATCATCACCACATCATCATCATTACAATATCTTCCTCATCATCATCATCATTACCACACATCATCATCATCATCATCATCATTACATCATATCATCATTATTCTAACCATAATCATTGTCATTATCATCGTTATCATCCTTAACATCATCATCGTCATCATCATCATTATTATTATGTTCTCTTAGTCACCTTCATCATCATCATGATTAATAAGACAACATCGCCACAATCATCGTCACCAGCACCACTATCATCACTATCACTGCCATAAACACCACTACCATCAGCATTATCACTGCCATCATCATCATCATCATCATCATCATCATCATCATCACCATCATCATCTTTGATCATCATCACCACCATCACCATCTTCATCACTACCGCCATTAATTAGAACTACTACCAACGAACGTCTCTCTCTGTTTCAAGTGAAAACATGCTCTAAACTCCAGGACACAAACCAAGCCACCGTATCTTACATCTCCCAAACATGCGACTCTGTAGCCACATACACATGTAAAGACACCAGACTGACTATGTTGGGTTCTGGAGAGAAAATTTGTAACAAAAGTGGAATGTGGGAAGGTGCAGAACCAAAGTGCATCAGTAAGTTTCATTATGTCTCACTCGGCTATTTCGCTGCTAACGAATTTAAGCAGAATCAATATTTGAATAATGTTGTGTTTTTCTGTAGATCCTAATCTCAACATAGCACTTGGAAAACCTGCTTCTATGTCATCACATTGGAAGTTACATGGTGGACCTGCAAGTGTCGCGGCTGATGGAAAGAGAAGTGGAATTATGCTATCTACCAAATATGAATATGGATCATGGATAAAAATCGATTTACTAAAAGAGGTATTGCTTGCTAAGAACACTTATAGTTACTAAACTGACTGATGTTTACTCAACTTGTTCTTTCTAATATATTTTAGCTTTCTTCTTCCCCAATGTTACTACAGGAGGACACCAGAACACTCTTGTGAAAAACTCGTGGTGTTTGGTAGACTCAGTCTTCACAGCTACATAGGATAATAAGGCACTTCTGCTCGTGTTTTAAATAGTAGCCTACAGAGCACTGCTGCTCGTGTTTTAAAGTGCAAAGGTGTATCTGCATGGTCTCAATCTTATTTATGCAATTTTGATGATACTCAGAGACTGTATACTTCCGCTAAAATGGGCATTCAATTACGGATTCAATTTACTCTATTCGGCAAAGATAAACTTCAGACCTATTAATTTCTCATCCACTTTCCATCCAAATTTGACCAAAATTTAATCAATTTGTCCTTGGGCAATGTCATTAGTCTCACCGATCTTCTTATTAATACGTCTGATATTTTTAAATCGTGATTATTTTTTTCCTGCTGACAGACAAATTAACACACACACAAATAACCACGTGACGATGAGGTCATTGTATATAAACATTACATTCAGTATTGAATCTTTGCAACATTGTATTTGCTATATTTAGGATACAGTGTCAACTGTGATCGTGGTGAACAGAATTGACTGCTGTATTCGCAGGATGGATCATTTCAAGGTATCCGTGGGGAACAATGGTAACAAGGCGGGGGCAAATACAGAATGTGGTGGACGATCAAGGGCTAAAGGGGGGCCGAATATTATCCAATGTTCCACGACGCTACGAGGAAGATATGTGTTCGTGTTTATGCCAGAGAAAAGGTACACTATCATGGCCCTGTTTGAAGTCGAGGTGTATAGACGAGGAATGACAGAATAATTTTTCAATATAAAGTCACAATTAACGAAGTCACTTAGTTATCAACATAATATTGTGTTAGTAGAAGATTAAATAACCAGATAATATACTTTGATCTGTATGCCTTTAAAATAATAGTAAATTTGCGCAAAAATTTGCGGAACGAATGAATGTATTGTAGGTGGTTTCACCAAGGACTGTCATACAGCAGATGTTTGTCAACTGGCAGTAACCAGAGTGAAAATATACCTTCAATATCATTCAATTTATATGCATGCGGGTCGTCTTGGTACTATGGCATGGGGTTAAATTTCACGCAAAAATTATTTCTCTATAAACTCATAATGCATGTCACCACTCTTCCCACCTTGCATGGTCACGCGCCCATGCACTCATCTATGGTTCATTGCATACAAGCAGGCACTGAGACATTACTGTTCAACTGTAGCTTTTTATTGATAACTGTGGCCAAAATCTCGCAAAAACGATGTTGTTTCGTGGTGGATGCCGAGGAAGGGAAACAGCTAGTATAAGAAAGGTAAATGTTTATTTGTACGGAATTTCCGCTACAGTGAAACCCCGTGAAATGTACGAATATTTTCTAAACGCCCTAACTCGCGCCGTGAATGTCGAAACATCGTGAAATTTTCGGTATAGAGTAAATTGAGCATGACGATTTCAATTCTGAGTACATTTTTTGACCCAGGTTAGAATCGAGGTACGTTCCGCCACATTAGTGAGCTTAAGCAAGTGACGTTTTTGACAACACTGACGGCATGAGCAACGTCAGAAGACTGGGTCAAGGACTGTGATTGGTGAAAAACGTCAACTTTACCTCCTGTGGACGTCCGTGTTGTCAAAAACGTCACTTGCTTAAACTCACTATTATCTGTGGTGTACAGACTTGGGACAATTATTTCCGCTGGCGCAATTTCACATGAGATCCTTAGGCTTAGATAAAAATAACAGTATTTTGTAACACATGAACATAGTTTATATTATTATATATTTAAAACGCGATGTATTATTATAATTATTACCGTGCTCGTGTGGCTATTATAGCGCATTATCTCGAACGGCGTCGGCGAATTTTATAACTTTTTAGGCTGGCGTGCGTAAAATATGTGGCAGACGTACTACAACCCGGTAATTTTGACAAAGATCTGTATTCTGCAGATAATGAGGTGGGAAATTGCTGACGTCAACTCTAACATGAGGATTATATTTCAAATACTTGACTCAATTACACCCGACCATGATATTGCGCAATGGACAAAATGCAGCTAGCCAAAGTGTTAAATTTAGGTTGATAATAAAACCTTTTGTGTTCTAGCTGTAATACTTGGTACCAGACGTTTATAGGTCTTTCAAATTGAAAGTGTTGACAACCGTCAGATGCGTGTTCAAATGTACGTTTTCCCTGTTCTTTGGTTTTGTCGACTCTACGGTCTATTAACGGTGGTCATCTCCTCTGGAAACTTTTTTTTTCATTTTTAAGTAGATTTATGCAAAAATATGATTTTCTGAAAGGGACAGGTGACAGAAAATGACCAATGCAAAAATTTTTTCACAAAGTCGTTAATTACACTAATTATCCAATATGGCGGCCGTTAATTAACCGGTAATTGCTTAGCATCGTAAACATTATATCTCAAGAACCAGTCATCAGAATAAAATAAATAATATATTTTTGAAAAGCTTAGAACCTGACCTATTATGTGAAACTCTTCAATTTTCTTGAAATATCTTTAAAAAAAAATTAGAGCCATATTTTGGAATTTTTCAATTATTGCAACTCTTAATCCGGCAATTATGAAGGAAATTCGCCTATAATTCATTAAGGATGATTAATATTGAAAATTGAAGAGTTTCACATAATAGATGATGTTACAGTTAGTAAGTATGCCAAATATCAACTCCCTGCAGTAAATAGTTACAATATTACAGTGTCACAAAGATCACTTACACATGCCAAATTGCGAAAATGAGAAAATCCAATCTAAAGTTTTCGTTCATGCTTTTCTCACAACATAAAGGTTTAGAAGCTACCTGCTTCATATGTTACCCCTTCCTTGTCCTCAGCATTATCCAGAAACTTTTTCCTGAAGTGTCTCAGTGATTTCCTTCTTGACTTGACTTTGTCTGAGCTCTTTCTGGCCGACAGCTTGATCCTCGCTCTGTCGCAGTCTTTGGCACCTTTACAAGTGAAGAACCCAGGCGTTATATCTAAGTCTTCCAGAATTTTAAGATATGATATGTCCCCATCATTAAACTTTAGGACTGCTAGGTAGGTGGCAAGAGCTACAGTTTCCTGCTCTACATATGTAGTCTTTGGACATCTGTCCCAGATGATCCCGTTCAAACATTCATTTGGATTCTGGGTCAAGCCATGGGTGCATTTCTTTAACAAAGCTGGGTCAGCCAAATCATCAAATATAGGCTCAACCAACTCAACAATGGGCTTTGGAATACCATTTTTATGTTTGTATGTTTTGGAATCTCTTTGATAGCCACACCAACTGTCCTCACCTTTTGGGCAAAGATGATGCTGCGGGTTCTCTTCTGTTGACGCAACGTGGAAAAGAGACGCTTTTACAGCCTTAGCCATTTCTTCAACATTATCAAGGTTTTCTCTTATTGCCAAGCCGTAATAATTTTGGAGAACATCCATCTTTCCAGTAGTTAGGCGACCTTTGCCAGATATTCCTTTGCCATCTGAGAGTTTTCTGCCTTTATTCGAACTCTTTAGCCTCCGCAGTCTGCTTCCGACTCGCTTCTGGACATGCCCAATACATTCTAGTTTGCTGGGTATACAGTCCTCTCCATAGGGTTTACTTTCTAGAATAGCACTATAAGTGGACGAATCACCATCTCCAAGCATATCTTTGTATTTCAGCCCCTTTGTAGCGCATGATCTTTCAAAGATCGTTAAGGCACCAGCTGTCTCCATGCTGCCAGAACTCCCCGTATGGTTGATCTTGCATTGGTGATTGGCTTTCCATTCTTCATACTTTGGACCATTCTGCTTTTTGCTCCACTTGAGACACTGCTGGCACTTGTCGGACAGGACTTCAACATCAAGGCACTTCTTTGTGTCGAGGGAAATTGCCGTAACAACACCATTGTGAGATGAATAACCACGCTTCTGCCATGTGCCATCTATGGATATTCCACATTCTCCAGCATCATTATCAATAATTTCCTTGACATGCATAGCATTGTTGACCATGCTATCATTGGCACACTGCTTCACTACAGGTAAAAGCTTTTTATTTTGGATCTTTGTGAAGTTGGCACGTCGTGGTGGAGCAGGCATGTTGAGAACTTTGCTGAAAGTTGTCATGGCACTGTGCCCTTTACCGATTTCTCTAAAGGCCAAGACTGCTCGGACATTGATTTCATAGGAC